CTTACATTTGAGTCGGAACAAGCAAGTGGACCCGCGGCTGCTCTAATCGGACCAAAACATATTTTATTTTCTAATGCATTTTATTTGTTCATGTCTTTAAGAACGACCAAAGAGCCAATTTGAATACTTGTTAGATACAAAAAATTCTAAAAGTTGTTAAACAAGATACAAAAATGTAAAAGTTGTTAAACAATTATACTTGAGGTATAAAGTTTCATCTTGTCAATTGTTTTTAAGAAAATATTTAAAGTTTCATCTTAGCAATTGCAGAATTCACATAAAATAACTATATGTTTTGGAGATTAATCTATCATTTTCACTTTGTGGTTTATTTTTAGTGTGACAGTCAGGTTCATTTTGCCGATGCAGATTTTTTTAGTTTTTTTAGAAACAATGCCGATGCAGATTTACTACGATAAAAAATGGGAGTTTACAACTTTCTCTCTCAATTCAATTCAATTCTATAACAAGCGAAAACGAATGATAAAGAACAATCCCTTTGTGACAAAAAAAAAAGAACAATCCTTATGACAAATAAAAATAAGACTCAAATACCCAAAATATTTTTTGTAGACACCCTTAATTATAGTTTTTGACTTGGTCGTGGGGTTGTCATAGTGTCAACAACAAACTTTATTCCACATAACAGATAGTTCAAATAACTATTTGAAAGTCTATATGATACGATTAGTGGTTTTAGGTGTTTTAATAATTTTGGTGTTTTATGATATGATTAAAAGTTTTGGTGTTTCCTTTTTAATAGACGTAAGATGTTTTCCTTTTTAGTTAGGTTTAGGATGCTTTGTACCTAAGCCTATATAAGAGTCTCTTATGATCAATAAAAAAGAAAACTTCCAACAATTAACCTAATTCTCTAAGAGAGATTTGGGTTAAGAGGAAGCTTGCTTAAATCTTTTCTCTCTTCTCACGTTAACAATAACAGCGCCGCTTACGAGATTGAAGTCGAAACAACTAGCTCTTCAGGCAAAGTTACTAGATTAGTTACTAAAACGTATCACTATATAACAAGAATCTAAATCGATCGTTGCATGTAATAATAGGTTTGTACTACCATCACCCCATGCCATCATCTGTATTCAAATTTAATAGTATGCGTGTGTAAATCATAGACGATAAGAAAACACAGGGTTATGAAATTGAGTTTCACCCAGTAATGCAATTAATATGACATTCACCCACTTACTTTTTATTGTTTTTCTTAATAAGCTTTTGGTACTTAGTGTGGTTTGTATTTGCGCAATCTTTGTGAAAAGTTCAAAAGAATGACTTCATTTGACGGTAACAGAAGTTTGGTTCTATAAAAAATGTATCTCCTCATTTTGGAAGAGTGAGAATATTCCCCCACCACTTTTATATACATACGTTCACTTTAACCCATGGTAACGTTCAAGGGGACACTACATGAAAAAGAAAGAGAGATTAACAAAAAAAATTCTGAAAAGCATGAACAAATGCGTCATTGATAGGAAAATACTCGAAAAGTTTAGAGTATACGAATAACGGATCTATTAGTGACCACCCTTACACGGATACCTAAAGATCAAATTAATAAGTATTTGTTTGACTTTTGTAACTAATAATGTTTTAAGCTATTTTACTCCATGAATAATATAAGTTGCTAAGTTGACAAAGAAAACTAATAGTAATAATATTCATATTTTTAAGTGGTGAAATTATTTTTGATCTAGTAGCTAGCAAATAAATTGATGTATAGCATAGATCAAGTAATTCAAACCCTAGAGAATGTGAGTTTTTTAGGAGATTATTTATACAAATGTTTTGGTACAAACATGTTATATGTCGAATCGTATTTCGTACATCATAGTCATGTGTAATGTGAATAGTTTAAAAACTATATTTGTCATGAACTATGTTTATCATTTTGTG